AAACTTTTTCATTTCTAATATTCAGTTTTACTGAGTAAATTGTACTTTGTGAGTACAGTTCTTCTGAAATGATTTACCAATATAATTCAAATGACAAACAGAATTGAAACCATTCAATACAGCATTTAAAACGGACTTAAACAGAATTATTCATGTGATCATTCATAATTTTATTGGTCATTTGTTGATTTTTTCCCCCACATATATTACCAAGTTGAAATTTTGATTGGCAGCTGATTGTTGTATTTCATAGGTCCACACTAAAAGCCTAACCAGGGACAAGTGCTTCAAATGAGCTATTAGCAAGAAGCATAAATTAGAGCATCTGCTGCTCAACACTGTCAAATTAACAAAGAAATATATAAATAATCATTTACATAATTAGAATGCATAATAAATCATTTAAAAGCCTATCTGTGTAAAGCAGGATGCGACATTCAACCAGCAGACGGTATTCAGGCTTCAGTAGTGTTTTCTGTAGCCCATCTAACTGCCTCTTCTCTGGGTAGCCTAATATAATAAACAGCTTACGGTGCTTCTCGCCCTATGGGGCTCCCGTTGCCTAGCAACAGTAGGCAGCTTGTCACGGCATTATGAAGCCACTGTTGCTAGCATGCTATTCTTGCTAATCCTTTTAGTTTACTCGTCTGCTCACCAGGTTTTTTCTTCTTCTTTTTTTATGAATTTTTTCTTTGTTTTTCTACTTTAACATATTAACTATGCCACGCCATTTGGATTTAAAACGAAGAATTTAGATGCTATCAATGTGTTAGCCAGATTCATGCTACATGCAACTCAGTGTTTTCTCTATGCGCTGGCTAAGAATAAGGGTGCTAACTCTGCGTAGCAACACAGAATTCGTGCAGAACCACTTTATATTGCGCTGGAGAATATGTGCATATTGATATTGCATTCTCTGTAATAGCCTTGTGAGTTATATTACATGGAAAATTGTCTTACCACAGCCGCTAGCTTGTTCCCTGCCCGGTGTATTCACTATTCAGGCTGTACCCAGCAGGACAGACTGATGCCCATAACTTGGAGAGGATTGTTTTCAGGATGTGCAGTGAGCACGCGCAGGGGTCCTGATTTGAGAACGTAACAGAACGGCTTTAATAAAAGCTGACAGTTTGAGATGAAGGGTGAACTATTCGAATCATATTTGTAATTATGTAGTTTGTAGTTTTCTGAAGCATCTGTATTGTAGAGGAATTTGTTCAGCAAATGAGAAAAGACTTGGCCTGGATTTAAAAAAAAAACATTCATAAACATCGACGGGCAGTGTTGGGGAGTAACTTGTTACATGTAACGGAATTGCAAAATAAATGTAACTGTAACCTGTGATGTGTAATTAAATTACAGTTACTTATGAAAATGTTAACGAATACAAAGGGGGTTACATCTGAATTTTTTCACACACATAAGTTACAGATTTTATTGATTTATTTCCCAAATTGCATTGACTGCTATAAAATATGAGACACCAATGTTGCAGGAGTTTAGGACACAGGACACATGCTTATTTGATAACTGATTTATTTCCTATTTGGATTTAAGTATAGGCATTATTTTTCAAGATTAATTTTCCAAAACATTGTTAGATGCCAGTGTTTCCTAACATAGCTATGCAAAGATTTGATTTCAAACAAAGTATCATAGCTTTTAAACTATATCATGTTATGATTTTAAATGTTTTTAACCTCAGAATGATCTCAAAGTAAAAAAAGAGGTGTTAAAGTCTGATTTTGTGGTGGCTGAGCTTTAAAATTATTTATTATTATTATCTTAATTCAAGTGATGATAGATTTTGAAAGTCTAACAGTAATCAGAGTTGAGTCCTACAGTAAGGTTAAACCTGCCTGGTTTAAATGTTTCAAAATAATTAACAGCTGAAAACATTTGTTAGAACTTTAGAAAA